AAATGATATTCTTCGATTACAAAGGTTCGCAACGCATTGTATCAAAGCGGGTTAGGGCACCGTTAGAAGTGAATACTTCGGTTTCTTGAGATTGTTGTCTCATCTGACGAACCAAATCCAATTTATGCCTTGATCAAGTCGTTTACCGGAGTATACCTAAACTTAGCTTCAGCTTGAAATAAAAGGTACAAAAGCAGAATTTAAAAATTTTCCTGAAACAGTTAGCGCACTCAGTATAGAATTCTGCGTAACTGATCTCGTTATTGATTGCGTTAAAACGGTTGTTTTTATAAATTAATTCTGTGTGAGGAACGGAAGGCGTTTCGGCAGAGGGCCGGTGAAACGTCCCCGAAGTGGGAGACAAACCAGTGGTGCGCGGCAAATTGGCATACAGACTCGACCGGAGCTACACACACTGGGCGATAGATTTTATTGTATCGTGTGTTTTACAGTTCGTGTGAGGTATTCAGTGTCATTTCGGTAGAACATGTGCATTCGAGGACAGATCAATACCGGATGACTTCCCCTACATGTTCGGTCGGATAAACCGGGTGACATTCCGTGAAATGATGATCGACGAGAACTGCTTCGATAAACCGCACACCGGAACGACCGAAGTCGGGGTCATAACAAAACAGACATATGATCGCACAATGTAGTGACAAAATGAACATTCCCGAATAGTATACAACATGTGCTTTAAATATCAATTATGGTGCAGTCATCAAACTTCTGCGCACGCCTTCAAACTGTTTTATATTTTGAGAATAGTTTTGAGGATAGTTTCCTGGGAATAATCGTTAGATTTCTGATTAGTTTTCAGCAGTTGATCAATAATTTAAGATTTCGCGTTCTATGATCAGTTTAGCGACTCCGTTGTGCATATTCAACCAGCACTACTGAATTATACATTGATTTCAGAATATATGACCGAAGTGACACGCTGGATGGATTTCCTGCTGCCAAAAATGCGACGTTTTCTGTACACCTACGGTGGTCCGGTGATCATGGTTCAGGTAGGTTTTGATTGGTGGAAGGAGGGAATTGTTTTGCTTGCATTATGTGTGCTGCCTCAAAAGATCAAACGAATGTTATGCGAACTGTAGTAGTTTTCTTTTTTTTTCTACAACCGTTGTTCAAGTAACATCCAGCAGTAGGGCAATAGTTGGCAAAATGAAATCATTTGGGTAATCGGTCGCTGGCAGATAAATCTCCAGATGTTACAACTCGTGGCTATTCTTGAACGATCGCAAACCTGGATAACATTGCACCGTGGTGTACCATCAGAGTGCTCAAATGAATAGCATGTAATAGATCTTACTTCATTCCTTCAAATCACCGTGAATATGGCAATTTGAATCATTGTCCATTCCACCCCACTCCCTACCCGAATCCGTTGTGTGTTGTGCCTATGTGATCAGCTGGAGAACGAGTATGGTTCGTATTACACCTGTGATAAAAAATATTTGGAACAACTGTACGATATGGCTCGTGTTCATTTGGGCAATGAGATTATTTTTTTCACCACGGACGGGCCGTCTGTGGGCTATCTCCGATGTGGTTCATCCGACCCGCGTTATTTGGCCACAATCGATTTCGGACCAAGTGAGTGAAAGGTGGCATATGGTTTAGCAGTCACGTGTTAATCTACAATGACCTGGTTACAATAAACCCAAAAACAAGGAGAGGTATCGATTGCCACAATGCAATAGTAATATAAACGAAGGTCGTAGAGCCTCGTAGCTTCATCGTGTGCATGTGAGTCACAGGAACATTAAAGTGAAAGTATACATAAATATTATGGTTAATATCATTACCTTCAATCACTATACGGCATCGATGAATGGGGTGCGCTTATAACAATGGGCTTCGAAACGGAGTTCGTTTTCAACTTGATCAGCTCGCTCCCATCTGACAAACAGTCACCTACACTACCGTCCAGAGTTTCACACTCTCCAGCCTCGTTGATAGGAGTTTCTTTGCTCCTCGATGCTCCACATCTTGTTTTACGTCCTTTCTTATTTTCGAAACTGCCACGAAAGTCAATCAAAAATTCAACAAACCATGCCATTAAACATCTTTTTGCGGCATAGATATGAGATAACAGTCATGTGAACATACGTAATTGACACAAATACATTAATACATACATTAATATCGACAATCAATGAATACTCCTTTTCGATTAAAACATTAAAACTTACATTAATTGCTGCTTTCTTTCCAGAGGTGCAAAACTAACCGTCTTGTTCAAAAATGTTTCGAAAAGGGAGTTGGTTTTAGAATATGACAAGCTCCGAAATAGTTTCAAGTCAAGTCAAGCTATACGCACCCAATAGGAAGAATTTTTACACTTCCGACACGTTACAGTGAGGGAAACGTTAAGCGTTGGAAAAAGAAAATTATACATTCAATAAACGAAAACAAATAAATGTAATAAACTCCCAGTGTGCCAGATGACTTTCCGAGTCAGTAATGATAGTTGCTCGATTTACCAAGATTCGAAAAAAATAATTGCTGATACTGTTTTGCTATTTGGCGGCACGCGCACAAAGAATCCAAGCTGTAAATATGATAACTTAACTTCAAACTCATTGAAACGTTGAAAAAGTGATATAAAATTGCACGTAATCGTTTCCCAACACAGTTACATGTTTTTTCGCGTCAAATTTAAAAATGACGAATAAACCCTGTCGTTGATGTGTTTTGATTCGTTCTCCGACGAAAACTATATCGGCACTGTTTGAGTATTGACCTAAAATTGCCAGTAAATGTGCAAATGTGGAGCTATTCCGTGGATCGAAAACCCTATTTCTCAAGTCAACACATTGTACAATCAAACCGAACTTATAGTATTGACGACATTTCCGGTGCATAATTCTATTTATCCGTAACAAGCCAAATATCGCTGAATAAAAGGAGATTGGATCACCAGATAACTCGGAGTTGGGCAAACTACTACAGACAGTCACGACCATTCATCCACAAGAATCCCCAGTCGAATGTCCCGCAATTTCGTGTCTTCCTAACGTTGAGTCATGCGCATTTCGATAATCCACATCAATGACAGGCATTATTCCGATAATCCTATCCTATCACGTTTAAAACCAAGCGAATAATCTTTCCGAATCACTGCACATCATCAACGGGTTAGAAAACGAAATTCTACAACTTACCTTACGCTAAAATCCGGCAAGAAAACAACTGAGAACAAGGAGCCCTGGAGAATCGATTTGGTTCGAATCAGTATTTTTATGTTAACAGACCGATCATACAGTATGCGTTACTGACTACTATATTTACTGTTTCCCCCTCATGCACATGCAGCTTGGGTATCGCCAAACCAGAGCTTCAGTTCGCTGGAACAATTCAGACCAAATCAACCTTGGGTAAGCGATTTTGGCGTGACAGTGAATTCAAACGTCAGAGAACAGTTTACACCGAGTAGAACACTTGCTAGGTGGAGAATGTGATATGAATATTGATCGCATCGGTTAGAGGTATTGAGTAAAATCCGAAACATGATCGTTGTTCCATTTACTACTGTATCTCCAGTAATATAAACAATGAATCTCATCATTGACAAGATCACCTGTTCATTGCTTTCATGAATTTCTCCCAGGCACACAGAGGGTATATGTGTGAATTCGAGTGTTACGTAACACTATACTCATGATGAAACGGGGTATATCTAGGGACACTTTCGACTGCATATACAGGAATTAGAAGTCCCTCAGTATCACAACAATATCAGTCACTTGTAACCAAAATAGGATTTATTACTGTCGTTTGAAGACCATACCTTTATATACCACCATAAGTGTAGAGTTTTATTGGCTACACACTCTATGAGATTCTATACATTCCGAGTTTAGAAGGTACCAAAAAGTAATCATGAGAGCCACCTCAGTACTACTATTGAGAATATATCCACTTTGTTGTAACATTTGTACCTCAGTGCAGCGGTCAGCTCTATTCAATGGAAATATGTCCATGTTTTGCCAATGCTATGCAGATCGAGCTAATGATTTGAAATGTATTGGATACGTCAAATTACACATTACATGTGTTAGGAACACATGCATCCTGTCGAATGATTCTATCCTCCTGTGGATCTTTTGCGTACACGCACGTGTTGGCCTTCGATTATTGAAAACTATTCCGATCCTTGGGGGCATTGATTTTCGATGGTTGTTTATAATGCTACAGTTTCATTGGTATACTCAATAGTTCTACAAATGCAATTCAGAAGAAAATCGATCCTTAGCAGGACTATGCTCATTTCAGCCCACAACACCCATAGGTGTCATGAATGTTTGGTTTTGAATAGATAAATCCGATCCAATTCTTCCAAATGCGTATGACTTACACTTGCCTAATTTCTACCTATCTGAATCCGTCCTTACGGACATAGGTCAATAGTGAATTCTATGTCGGCTGGTTCGATGCGTGGGGCGGAGAGCATGCTCGAACGGATGCAAAATACAGCACCGACAGCCTGATTCGCCAAATGAGTTTCTCTGGACGGGTCAATGTGAACATGTGAGTGAGTTGGTTGCTTTAATATCTACAAAGATTTATTTATATCGAGATTGTGAAAAATTCAGTAGCCTCAGGAGGATTTGAACCCACGCACGCACGTCGCCTACGCTTTTATGCAGGGCACACTCTATCAGTTGAGCTACGAGGCCACGTTGTCAGCATCGATCTTTTCATATTCGAATTACCCATCCCACTTACTTGCCATATGGCATCCCCCAGTTAGCACGTAAGCTGACTGCCCCGACATGTTTTCCTTAGAATTCACCGGAGTCCATCGAATGAACTTCTAAGGAAAGATTAATTGTTCAAATTGTTGTTTGTCAGTTTAAAGTTTTATGTTGAGATTGTGAAACGTTCAGTGGCTGGTAGAGAGTGCGCTGTACAAAAGCGTAGGCGGCGTCCATGCGTAAGTTTAAATTCCACCCAGGCTACTGAAGGTTTTACAATCTCGCCGTGAAAACTTCAATCTGTCAAACAACAATTTGAACAAAAGATTTATTTATCCCGGTCCTTATGGATTTGATGACTTATATGTTCTTAATAAAATTTTATGAATGCAGTTTCATCAATCCATTGAAAATTGTTTATGCATTTCTGTAGTGATTGTATTAGTAGTAATAGTAATACGCAAGGAACTCGGAACACGAAACACGCATCAACACGAATCAAAGATCAGCTATCTCAGAGTGGATCACGTAAGCACTGAACCGCCCTGGCACTAGCACGCAATATTGTACGTGACTGAGAGGCGAGGAAAAAGCCACTCAAGTAGTAGTTCATTTATTGGAAGAAATAAAGGGGTGCAAATAACATGTACTAAGTAAACTCATTGATTATCCGGGCTTCTAACAATCGTCTTCCAGTATTGCTGGCATTGTTCTGCTTGTCTTGGCCGCACGATCTCTGATTGACTGTTACGATCTACGTATGGTATGAAATCAGAAGCAGTGACACGTATGCGCGTTGTTGACGTCACC